TAGTCTTCAACTAGTCCAACAGCCACTTAGGCTATAATTGTGATATTTATTTTTATGCCCCTCCCCCACCCACCAATTTTTTTAATGGCTTTAGCAATTAGTTATTCTGTTCTTTAAATGTATGTTTTTTTTATTCATCCTCTTTAAAGCATCACTGCTACACTCATTCACACGGATATCTTTGGCCTCAACTTCCACCACAAGTGTTTTTAAAATGCCATATCAAGTTAAACAACATACAGAACTCATCTTGAGAACCCAGTGTGCTATTTCTAAATGCAAGAATGCATTTTATGTAAAAACCCCTCCAAGAAAAACATAAAAATGTATACATATTAAAAGAATTATAAATAATATGCAATTGTCCAATTTAAAGCTATTTTCTGATAAACAACACAGCCCCCACAAAACATCACGAACCAAATCATGGTTGAAATTGGCTACAGTTCTTTTGTCACATTGGATATGGAAGGTCAAAACAAAGTCAAGTACATTGCATTGTGGGATACAGTGTTCTCAATACTCTGTAACAGGGCTCTGTTATATACTTTTTGGACATCTAGGGTATTCTGTGCATGCAGAAAATTCACACTCTATGCACAGTTTGTACAAAGCCGAAATAGTAGGAATGATATTGTAGTATGCTATTCTGTTCATGGGCCAAATCTGTTCTCTCGGTCTATCTGAGACCACCGTGATTGAGTCTGAGCCTAAAAAACCCCCAAAACATGCAGTGAGTCCATGCTTCCCATAACAGGCTTATTTGAAGCCTATGTTTATTATGACGAGGGAATTCTTATTCTGAGGGAAAGCTGATAAGACTAGGGTGACCATACGTGCCATTTTCCCAGCATGCGTCCTGGCCAGGATTTCTATATTGCCGAAAATATCTACAGGACGCGTCCTGGGAAAATGGCACGTATGGTCACCCTAGATAAGACCAGCTTCGTGGCCAGCTTTGATGGGAAATGCGAGGGGCTGCATGGCTTGGTGCTTGTGTGGTAAAACAGCAGTTGTCCCTGAAGAGTCATCCCTGCAGACCGTGGCCCTGGCAGCCTGATTAGCTGTTGGGACAAAGTGAAATAAAGGGCCAGACAAAGACAAATGGGGGTGGGGGGTAAAAATGGGGCAGTGGAAACTTCCTTCTTCGCTCTCACTGACATTTGCCCTCAGTGTTATGGAGGTCAGAGGTTGTGCGAAGTAAAGTTTACATGACCTTATACAGATTTTGCCACTCACTGTAGCTCCATAATGTAAATGTTTTGCCACGCTGTTGTAGACATAGTCTGAAGAAAACAATAAAATAAAATAAAATAAAAACCTTGGGGAAACTAGAAAAACAATTTGTAATGATTTTTAAATGTATTATTTTATTTTATTGTTAGCTTTATTTTATTGGTCACTGAGATTTTCAGAATAAGTGAAAGTCATACTAACTGTCAGCATCTTACAGATTATAATTCAAAACTCATTTTGTTGTTACTAATAGATGAGAGATGTGCAGTTCAACCATTTGACAAGGTTTATTGGCGCTTGTATCGATCCACCAAACATCTGCATTGTGACAGAGTATTGCCCCAGGGGAAGTCTCCAGGTAAACACTCTCAAGTTTATGCTTAAAATTACTTTTTTTGTTAACCATTAACATCATTAACCAATACAATTATTGTTAATTATTTATTCATATTATTTTTTGATTGCAGGCAGTGAGAATTGTTTATAAAACATTTGTATTGCTAATATTACAATGCATTTTGTTTTTCCCATTTCTGGGAAGTAGTTGGCAACTGTACATTTGTCTCTATTATGATGTTATTGTAGTTCCTTCATTTCCATATTAATTACCTTGTTTATGGTAATGATCATACTACATTTGTTTTAAAGTCTTGTTTGACAGTTTTATACAGAATTCCATCACAATTTATTTGTTTTATATATGTATAATAGTTAACACTTTAGAATAGGGAACACTTATTCACTATTAACTACGACTTTTCCCTCAATAAATTCCTAATTTGCTGCTTATTAATAGTTAGTAAGGTAGTTGTTAAGTTTAGGTATTGGGTAGGATTAGAGATGTAGAATAAGGTCATGTAGAATAAGGCATTAATATGTGCTTAATTTGTACTAATAAATGGCTAATATTCTAGTAATATGCATGCTAATAAACAACTAGTTAAGAGACCCTAAAATAAAGTTTTACCGTATAATATAATATGCTTGTATGAAAATAACTTCTGTGTATTTAGATGTTTTGCAGTGTTGAATTCCAGTTTGTTCTTTCACAGGACATCCTTGAAAATGAGAGCATCAACCTGGACTGGATGTTTCGATACTCACTGATCAATGACATTGTGAAGGTTTGTGAGACAACTGAAATTTACATACAGAACAAACATACATGAGCCCTATTCATTCACACACATTTTAATATATTGTTTAGTTTGCTTTAGTTAAGTGATGATGTCTTTTCAGTTCTGGAATTAAAAACATCATAAATTAAAAACAACTCTTCCCATATTGTAATGGCTTTTGAAATCCAGTAAATATGGTGTGCCTTTTAAAATGTCTAATGTATTGTTGAAAAAGCCAGATGGGAAACAGAATCATAAAGCAGTGTTGGTTGATTATTTGCTTTTCTGAGAGGAGTCCCATTAGTAAAAGAAAATGGCCTGGCGTCTAAGATAGCATGACATTGTGTTTGGAAAAGATGTATGAAAATAATTTCTCTCTAAATTCTCCCTCCATTAAAGTAAACCAATCTTCTGTTCAGTGTCAAAGGTAGAGAGCCCAGGCACATAAAAGCATTTGGTGTTTGCTGGAAAATTAAATGCACTTGTCACTTAAATGCACAAAACATTGCTTTTGCTTTTAAGATGGAAAAAATGTTTTAAAAGCATTGTTTGATTTAAAAATAGCACTTGTCTGAATTTAGTAGGCCAAGGCCACCTGAATTTATGGCTGACAGACATAATTGCCTTAAGTTGTTGCTCCTGAGTATTAAATATATATACTATTTTTATATATGTATTAAATTAAATACAGTTGCTGTTTAATGGGAAAGACAATAAACTTTAATCTTTATTTCAGTTTTATGTCTTCCAAAGGTAATTATAATGTGTATTCTGCTCCATTCTGCCCCATAAACTGTGCGTAAAGACATAATATTTTGTTTAATGCTTGTGCTGCCAGGGAATGAATTATCTGCACAACAGTTACATTGGCTCCCATGGCAATCTGAAATCATCGAATTGTGTGGTGGATAGCCGCTTCGTTTTGAAAATCACAGATTATGGTCTGGCAAGCTTCCGTTCGTCTTGTGAAAATGAAGACTCACATGCACTGTACGCAAGTAAGAATCTGTGAAGGTTTTCTGTTTTGATGCATGAATGAAACATCAGTTGACTTTTGCTGATTAAATCCCTAATGTGACCATACTTAGTGAGTGCTTACCTAATGGATTTTTCAGAAAAGCTATGGACGGCCCCAGAGTTGCTGATATATGATAGGCATCCACCCCAAGGAACCCAGAAAGGAGATGTGTACAGTTTTGGGATCATACTACAGGAGATAGCACTAAGGAACGGCCCATTTTATGTTGAAGGCATGGATCTCAGTCCCAAAGGTAACAGCCCCAAAGATCAAATACATTTAAACTGAGTTGTTGAACACCACTGACAAGTGTTTGGTTTGGTTTTGTTACAGAGATAATCCAGAAGGTGCGGAATGGCCAGAAGCCGTACTTCAGGCCTACCACAGATAACAGCCGGCACTGTGAGGAGCTGACCATCTTAATGGAAGGCTGTTGGGCTGAAGACCCTGTAGAACGGCCTGACTTCAGCCACATCAAGATCTTTATTGCAAAATTGAACAAGTAAGCACTGCACACTTACTGTAGATCTGTTATATTTACAAGAAGTAGCAGCAATATTGTGTCTTTGAACAGAATGCAGCATCTGTCCTAGAGCTGACAGCTCATTGATAAACAGCCTTTATTGATGTGAGTGAAAGCTTTATGGTTAATTCCCCAAAGGGGCACTTGACAGACATTGACAAAGTATCACTAAAATGCCTGGAATGTAAAAGAGGACTTTAAAGCCCAGTCTTCATTATATAAATGCATCTTGTTGACACATTTAGACATGTTAGTGATTGGTCAATGGTCAAAAAATCAGATATCTAAGTATAAACCACGGCAGCATTTCCCAGAAGCGGCTTGAGCTATAAGCAGATCACAGAACTGATTGTACAGGCCAACTTAAAATTGCAGGCTGTTTCACAAAAGCATAGTACCTTAAGCAGTACCTGAGAATCGTTGTAGATCAAGTGCTCTGGAGTAATCGTAAATTACTAAAGTGCATTGTAAGGAGACAGACTTGTGCAGTCATCTGCAGGAGATCTGCTATAAATTACATCTAATCTCAATGCCGTTCCAGTGCTGTCATGGTGGCATTTCACAGAGTGCACAACAAAATCAGTGTCCATTGCATCAAATGGAAGTGGGAACGGCGTCCGGTCTACGTAGCACCTTAAGGCTCGGACGGGACAGCGCAATGCTAGGGCTGGGTCAGCCTCCTCCAAGGGCAGCGCTTGCAGGCTCACCACCTGATCCCTGAAGGGAGTAGCGGGAACCTTGGGCACATAGCGCAAGACAGGACCATCGGCCGCCTTCACTGTTGTGAAGCGGATGCCACTGAACTTGGGGGGACGCCGGGCGTCCTGAATCGCATAGCCGAGGCTGATGGACCGCAGAAACCAGCGAGACGGGCTGGGTAGCTTTAACAGGGAAAAAAAACGTTTTTATATTCAACTAGTTTGAAATAGTTTACTGTGTTTCTAAAATATGTACACACAATTGTTTGAAATAGTTTACTGTGTTTCTAAAATATATGCACGCAGAGTGAAGTTTTAAAATGGTGTAAAACGTTTTATTAGTATTGTGATTGTATGTTATAGTTAAATGTTTTATCACATTTTATAATTACCACAAACTTGTTAACACTTGACACTTACCACTGAGAAACGTCCTGCTCCAGTCGTGCTTGCGAATCAGTCTCTTGTCGATCATGCAGTTCAACCGTTTCATCATCAGACTCCGGCTTGAATTGGTAAGGTACAATCGATGCCATCTTTTCTATGTATTGACAAGTCTCCAGGGCTGTCATTCCGTCATGGCAATGGGCGTTTTGTTTCCGACCCGCGCTGTATGCGGTAGACCAATCCAGAGCCAATCTCTCTACGGCTCTGGACCAATCACAAAGGACTGCACCATATGACAAATCACAGCAGTGAGGGCTCACGGAAAGGAGGGGTTTAGAGAGACTAATTCTTTGAACTGCTTCGCACGAGTCGTTTACAGATCATTTAGAAATGAAGTCAAATTAATTCTATTTTTTGAGAAAACTAACATGTTTTTTGATCTTGCATGCATGTAAACCTGTTTTAGGAGACTCGTAAAACAATATTAGCAACCTTAAAAATGGCATAATAAGGGCACTTTAAGCTCACAGAAGCCCATTTTTATTTGCCAAAAGTTAAACTTCAAAAATTCAAGCACTGAGAAGTGTGGCTCATTAAATGAATGTAGCCCTGCAGGTCTGTATGTAGGAGTGAGCTCTGACCCCTAAATAGAACAATATGATTCAGCAAACCACACACCAGCAGCACGATTCAACCAGAATCGACCACACTTCATCATAAGTGCTGCATTTCACCGCCTCATCAGATGCAACAATGCTATATTCCTTATGAAGTGCACTGCATTATAGCTCTTAACTGCAGAACTGAGTACATATTCCTGTTTCCTACTTTCAGTGCCATTTTCATGCTTTTTTTAATAATATGCTGCAATCTCTCCAGTTCATCTTGTTGAATTATTGATGGGTTACCGGTGATTTCACATAATTGTAATCTTCTACTGTAATCTGTCTGCTGTAATTATAATCATATATATCTGTGCAATTAAACATCATGTAAGAAGCAGGTGTCTAATGTATTTTTTTTTCTCAACAGAGAAGGCAGCACCAGTATTCTCAATAACTTGCTGTCCAGAATGGAACAATATGCCAATAACCTGGAGAACCTAGTAGAGGAGCGAACACAGGCCTACCTCGAGGAGAAACGGAAAGCTGAAAATCTTCTTTACCAAATCCTTCCACAGTAAGAAATGTTGTGTAATATTTCCAATGCAGTTTCCAAACTTTTAATTGGAGATTGAGGAAGGGGTAGGTATTATTTCAAGAGTTCTCTTATTACTAGATAACTTGCATGTGACGTAAGTTCTACCGTATTTTTTTAATCTCATCTAAAAATGGCTTATTATTTTTTGAGAATAGTCTGTTTTTCACATAATTATGTAAGCGGTGAGAACTTTTAAGATTGGCTTAAGATGAAGCAGACAAGCTGACTAATTATAGAGTACTAAACCCTCTAAGGATATAGCTAGGAATTAACTAAGCTCATTCATTCTTTAATTAAAGCTCATTCTTAAATTATCATAATTGATCTCAAAAGTGATCTTGGGTCTTATTAAGGAAAAGCTGCTGTACTAAGCTCCCATATTTCGAAATGCTGTAAATTAATTTTCAATTTGTTTATACCTTTATTTAGTGTTTAGATAAGGATTTATTAAATTAAATTATTTTCTGTGTTCAACTATGAATTGTTAAAATAACTGATAGTTTGCTGCTACATGTCTGCTATTGTGTTTGGACTTGTGTATGGAAAATAATTTCATGGTTCACATCATAACCTAATTCTTCTCACAGTTCAGTGGCGGAGCAGCTCAAGCGTGGGGAGACTGTACAGGCAGAAGCCTTTGATAGTGTCACCATCTATTTCAGTGACATAGTGGGCTTCACATCAATGTCTGCTGAGAGTACACCATTACAGGTCAGCACATTCATTTTGAATTATCTTAAAACTTTCAGATTATTTCTAGGTATAAATTCGATTTTGAATCCTTGATTTTCAATGTATCTTCAATGGGAAACTAATAAAAATCAATATATTATATTATATTATACGCTGTAAAATATTATTGTGATTTTAATGCTATGGTAAAAACCTGTTAATTGGTTACAGTGAGTTTCCGTACTCTATATGGTGAATAACTGATCCAACCTTACATTTTTTGTTGTTTTACAGTAAAATACTGTTAAATGTATGGTTTTTGGAAGTGAAAAAGAACAGTTTATTGTATAATTTACAGTGAAACACCACAAATAGACATTCCCAGAAATACTGAAATAATTGTCTCTTAGTTATTTCTATGCCGTTTTTTTTTACCATACATTTCACAAAAATTCACATTTTTTTACAGTGCATTATTATATTATATTATATTATATTATATTATATTATATTTATTACCACATTTTCCAGAAAATAAGAAACACAGGGTAAAAATTGCATGTGCAAAAATATAATAAAATAAAACAAACAAACAAATAAATAAATACATAAATAAATAGTCACAATAAAAAGTAATGTAACAATAAAATTTCACCTTTTATTATTACATTCAGAAATAATGTAAAATACCAATAAATAAATTGAAACATTTACAAACATCATAAACATTTTTATTATTTTATTTCCCTTCACTCAAACAGGAATGAAAAATACAGTACAAAGCAAATATATTATATTGCCACTCATTATAAACATGTATTATATAAACATGTATTATAACAGCAAGCCAAAACTAATTTATTTAAAGTGAAACTGAAACTACTGGAGTATGGGAAATGTGCTGTACAAATAAACTCTGTGCTTTGTAAGTTGCAGCTAGTTTCAGATGATTTAAAAAATAACATATGATTTATGTTCCGGAAATTATGCTATATTATTTTATAATAATAATGTAAAATATACTAACATATTTAAATATGAAAACAAAAAGGCAAAAATATGTTTACATATGCTTACAATGACTGAAAGAATCTGCTAGTGAAATTATTAT